CCCTCCTCTCTCTCTCTCTCTCTCTCTCTCTCTCTCTCTCTCTTCCCCGTACCGTAAAGTACCTGGCGCAAGGACACGGAACTCTACAAGCCTCACGACAAGAGACTAGCCCGAAATAATCCCAAACACCAACACCCGCATCTCAACCCCGATGAGCGGTTCAAACACCGATAGAACGTCCTACGCGGGCTCGCCGCCCAGTTACGAGCCCTCCTCCACCCCTCCCACGCGCTTCCCGTCCCTACCGGTAACCCCACCCCCTCATTCAAGTGAGGAGCCACCCCCGGCCTACGACTGCCGAAGGAACTCAAAACCAGTCCACTACCGCGCCTACAACCTCCTAGCGCATGCGGAAAGCCGTTCCATAAACATCGCCCCGCCATCCGGGGTCGCGGAAATTGAAAATCCAGGACTCGCGAACCAGATCAGGGAGAGGCGGATACCGAAAACCTACCTCAAGGGCACTATAAGCGAGGAGAAGGCCGAGAAGTTGCGCCGGAGGAACGAGGAGATTCGAGCTGCGAGGGAGAGGGATGCTAGGGATGGGGGTGGGAGCTTGTGGAGAAGGATCAAGAGCGCCATCAAGAGTGAGCAGGAGGTTCAGATTGTATACTTGACGGCGGAGGAGGTTGCCATGAGGAACCTGAGGAGGGATCGACAGAGGAGATTGTGATATGGAATTTGCAGGAAAGGGGCGTTGTAGCCACGTGGTGGCCTGGTTTAGGAGCCAATTTCTAAGGTTGGAGGTAATTGGATGGTCTTTTGTTTCGCTCGGTTCTGATCGTATAAGGAGCGAATGGTGCAATTTGTTTTTTTGTTTCTTATGAGGGGGGGTTAATATATTTATGAATCAGACGATGATAGCACTGCCAAATAGCCTTCGGGGCCCCAGGCTAATGAGTGTGCTTGTTTAAGCTACGAGTCCCCCCCTTCTTGGGACTGCATCCAAAAAGAGCTCTAGAACCTCACGTTACATTCCTAACCTATGCACTAGAAGGACCGCGTTAACCCCCTCCAGTCCATATTCTTGACGCAAGAAAAATACCACTCGGTCTAGGACATATCCATAAAACAATATATGAGCACATGTGCATAGACCACCACAGAAGCCATCAAGCCCCAGCATAAAAGTAAAGCCACCCACACGCAATACTTTTTTTTTTTTGTTACAAGTATTGTTTGCAAATCATTCACGGTCACTCGTTCATGAAACATGATTCGGTTCCTGGGAAATTTCATGGCATTGTTCAACGAACAATGGGCGGTTACTGAGAAACTGATACGTGGGACCTCCCCCCCCCCCTCCCCTCCGGAAACGGCTGTGTAAACATAGAGTTCCAGAACCCTTTGAAAATAGGAGAATATTATAAAGAATTCATCCCTATTACAAGGTTAGGAGAACAAAGAGCCGAGTGCAGCCTCGACGAAACCAGACCTAGTATCCATACTACCGAAAAAAATAAAAAATAAAAAAACCAGGTGCATGATACCCGGAAAAGCAGAACCAAAATCACGCGCCGAGATACCTGTACCGCAACCCTTCCAAAGAACCTGTATCCACCGCCCTCAAGATCTTCCTAGTGAATTGCGTAAACCCCCAAAGCACTACTCCCCAAGAAAAAAAAAAAGAAAAAAAAAAGAAAGAAAAAAGTCAGCAAGCATAATAACAAAACCCCGATTCTCTCCCGCTTCAAAGAGGTAACTTGGAGGAACTCTCACCAAGAGGGACAAGCCCCATATTCTCATACGCGCTCAATTGAAACGTAACCTTCATGCCCTCGGGCGGGACATAATGCTTCAGCAGCGTGATCCCCGCGACGACCACGGAGAGGACCAAATTCAGCGCGAGGGCGTCGGGAACCCACTCCGGCTCCGGCGCGAGTTCGTCCCTGTCCTCGAGCCTGTGCGTGGTGGGGACGCACAGGGCGGAGATTAGGATGGATGCTATGCTAAGGAGGTCGCACCAGCTCGGGACCGTCCATAGGCGGAAAAAGAACATGGGGAGTTGGGCGATCTCGAGGATGAAGATTAGTTTCTGGAGGTGGTATTAGTTCCTTTTGTTTTTTTTTCCTCTTTACAATGTATATATATGGGAAGGAAGGAAGGAAGGAAGACAAACGGTAAAGAAATCATTCTTGCTAGAATCCTCGTACTTTAATTGTTTGATTAGCTTATCCTGTTCTACTCGAGGTTAGCTGTATGATAGGTTTCCCCCCCCCAACGCGCTGAGGTTACGCAGGGTGTACGGAGTGGTATATACCCTCTTCATCCATGTAGACTACCTCGTCCGGGTCGGTCTCCTGCTGGGCTTGCAGCGCGAGGCGCTTGCGGATACCGATACGATCGAGACCGGGAAAGTTCAGGTGGCTCGCTAGGGCACTCGTATTGAGCGAAGCGGAGGATGCGTCGGTGCCCGACATCTTCGTACTACTCACTTCTGAAGAGTACTTCTAGGGAAGGAAAAAAAAAGAAAAATTATTTCTCTCCCTTAGTTGGTCAGGTTTGGCCACAGGGATCGCTCGAGTGGATGTCCAGGTATGTATAGTATATCGAGGTGGGTTGCGTCGCTTTGTTGAAAACACATGCCTAATAAATAAATGTAACGTATTGATGAAAGAACCCGGCCTTTGTATTTGTAACCCTAAGCCCTTACTTACCGAGCAGGCATGAACTGAAATACCCGAACGGATCCCAAGACAATGCTTTCGCAGCGCCATGATACTTGTACGGGGTGTGATAATATTATGATATCATTCATTCCCTACAGTACTGGGCTCGGTCAATTAATTACTCTACTCGTACTAGCACCGCCGACGCCGCGCCGGTCCCGTGATGGTTAAACTAACGCTCTAACCACAATAGCACGAGTACAACATCATACCGTGGCGGGAAATGAGATCTTTACCACTTTTATAACTAACTAAAGCACGATAGCTGCAGACACCTCCAGCTAGCCCGTAAAATCATTTCAAGCAGGAAAAAGCCAGATTCAGATTCCTCGATTTCCTATCACACCAAACAGAGTATCATACCACACGTGATAGATTGACCAATTCTTAACTCTCATACCAACGGTATGATATGATAAGATAAGACTCCTCCGTCCCCGATGAAGGGCCCACGAGCCGCAATAATAGCACGGGTCAGGCTAACCGACCTCTGCGGAAAGCTAACGCAGCTGGAATCTCCAGAGGTTTACCACTAGATATACCCCCCAAGAGAGTTAACTTATTGCACCATCTATCTGGTTTGTATTCCATCCGCCTGTACGATATTTCGAACACCATCCCAGAAACAAAGAACTTGTCCACAAAGCCAATTCCCTCCTCCTCCATAACCACACGTACCGTAAACTACGCAAACAAGAACCCGGGACACAAAAACAAACGGAAGGATGGCCGAGTGGTTATGGCATGTGACTCGAGCGTTCCGCTTCTTCACTTTGATAAGAGTGGGGCTTTCTCATGTGCGTAGCCCGCGGGGGTTCGAATCCCCCTCCTTTCATAGACTCTTTTTTTATGATATTATGATACAAAACATCTATCTATCCATTCATCCATCGTTAAATTTTTACCTTCATGATACCAGAAGCACGAAAGAAAAAAAGGATCGGAATATCGAATCCCACCGCATCAGGCATCAAGGCGTGGACCAACCTTGTCCCGGGATCATCATATTCACCCGTCATCCCCGAAAAGTTACCACATCGTAAAGTAATCACCCCCGTTCTATAAATTTAATGGCCATGATATGTGATAAGTTAGATGTTTCCTCACTCATAACACCGAGCGCCCGTCCGCCCGCGCCCATAGTGCACTATTTCAAACAATTCAGCCGAACCGACCCCTCACGAAGGGTAAGAAAGGGGAGAAAAAAGAAAGAGGGGAGGAGAGGGAAAGGGGAGGAAAGGGAAAGAAGGGAAAGGAAAGGAAATGAAAAGGAAATGAAAAGGAAAAGCCCACTATATATCAAAGCGTAATTCCCATAAATATATCCGTTCCCAAACACTCTACGAGTACCCAGCAGAGCAATTTAACCTATAAACCTCATGATATACACTCATTCAATGCGAACTACTCGTACGAGTAGAAGGAAAGGGAAAAAAATAAAATAAAATAAAAAAGCTCAATCACTCACAAAGAGGACCAAACTGAAGAAGAAAAAGCACCGGTTTTGTTTTGTTTTTTCTCTTATTTTTTTTTTTTTTGGAAAAAAAAAAGGCAAAAAGGCAAGGGTAGAAATAAACCTGGACGATGAGTAACTTAAAGGTTCAAAGTAAAGCTTATATCGATATCCTAGAATAATAATGATAGAAAGCAAGCAAGAAAGAGGAAGGACAATAAAGGCTATTCCTTCATCCGTCCTTATCTCATGCCTCATTCGAACATACAATTGTCATAACAGGAGAAAAAGAAATCCCGAGCTCCAATTTTTTGATGATGGTGATGGTGATAATGATGACGACTCCAAATAAGGCAGAGGAAGGAAAAAGATAGGTGCAAAAATTCCAAGGTTGCAGGGAAGTGTGAAAAGAGGGAATGGAGGGAGGGAGGGGTTAATAATATGTACTAATAAAAATAAAAACAAAAAACAAAAAACATGGGGGGGTATGACGGGAGGCGATATAGCAAGCAAATCAGAACCGTTAAAATATATCAAAACGACAAACATGGCAGCGTGAGAGGGGGAGGGAGGAGCAGGAGGGAAGGGGATTCTTGTAAAAAAAAAAAAGAAAAGAAAAAACCATAATCCCGTTATCGCCTGGAGAAACTACCGCTGTAGTAAAGTATAAGAAAAGAAAAAAAAGACCCTTTTCGCCGTGAATGAGTATCAGAGAACAGAGTGAAATAAACCGAATCAGATATAGAATAAAAAGGACCAAAAACGTTTTAACACCAACCCAGCCAGCCAACCGGCAAACTGGGCAGAAAGAAAAACACCACTTTTTTTTCGTTTTTTTACCGAAGGGGGATGACGAGGGGGGCCAGGGGGAGGGTGCGATATAGGAGCCGAGGAGAGCTTCGAACTCATCTCATAGATACAAAACTAATCTTATAGAAAAGAAAAGGAAAGAAAAGAAGACCCAAACCAAACCGGACCCTTGTGCTAAGATTACCAGTTAAGAGCATTTCCCATAAGACATAAGAAAGAAACCGCAAAAGACTCAAGCATTTTGTCCCATAAAAAACCCCACCAATGCCGCTTCATTTCTGTATGGCGTTCAAGTATAGCAAACAACAAAAACTATAAGAGGAAAAAAAAGGGGAACTAAAATAGAACCAAGTATAAGAAGAAATAAGAACAAAAAAAAGGGGGGGTATTTTTAACACGGGATTATATAAATGCCTTCACTTCATCACTATTGAAAGAAAAAAATGTACCGAAGAGAAGATAAGAAAAATGAATATGGTTCGAGCAGATAAGAAGACATCACGTGACCGATTCTTGCGCGCTTGACAAGGGCGGCCAAATATTTGACAGCTACTTAAGGCGCAATGCTAACCTCCTTCTTGGCCCCCTCAGAGGATTTATCGACGACTAGACGTTCCTCAGTCGAGCTTTCCCCAGTGGACGGCGGGGCCGACGAATCAGGGGACTGGACGTCCATGGTCAACAACGGGGGGGTCGCAAGCGCAGAACCAGGAGGGGGGGAGGCAGTTTGTGAAGGGGTAGAGGAGTTGTAAATCAACTTCTCAATCTGTTCATGCCTTAGGTATAAGTGTTGATCATGCAACCTGCTTGAAGGCTGGTTCCCTACCGCATTGATCTGTTTACCATAGGTAAACTTCTTCAAGGCTTGGAGTTGAGGCTTAATCTGCTCAACCAAAGTCTCCCTGTCCGGTCCTTGGAGTAGAGTCAAAAGTTTCTCTACGAGGCTGTCAGGTCATAGATCCCTCCACCAAAATTTCTCGGGGGACATTTGACTTACGAATCACGTAGTTCCCATACTGATCCCGCATGAGGATCTGTAGAGGAGAACTCCCGTCAGGACGGGTAGTGGTTACAACTTTGACAATTTCACGCTTCTCTTCATCCGACCCAAAAGTTATGCTCTTCTCGACCACGTTCGACGCAAACTTATGCCTGTTACAAGTTAGCAAATCAAACAAAAAAAAGAAAGAAAAAGACTTCGAGGACAAATACTTTGAGAACTGAAGCAGCTGGGTTGTAACCAGGCTAATGATCTTGGCTCGATCTTCGGGTTTTCCATGTTCGATAACGTGCTGGGTAACGTAATTCCCATACTGATCCTGTACAAGCGAAATCGTACAAACATGAAGCTCCTGAAGCAGCGAGGCTTGCGCAGTCTCGTCACAGTGTTCGAGCATGCGTTGGATGACACGGCACCCATAAGGGTGAGTCGCCAAAGCATGTACTTGGCCATGAAAAGCTTTGATGATGAATTGGATATGTTCCGCTGGTACCCTCTCGATGGCTTTCTGAACAACATGGTTGCCATTCTGGTCTTTCACGCACTTGAGAACATGACCATCCAATTCCTTAACAAGGGAGGCTTGCTGCTCTGTCAATATATGCTCGAGAGCCTATGGCACAGCTGTCAGTCTGCAGCTATGGGGGTTCGCGGGGCAGCCTATATCTACCTTTTGGACCACCCTACAGCCGTACATCTGTAAGGAAAGCGTCAACACATGTCCCTCCATCTGCTTGGCCAGGATACTCTTCTGAAGCTGATTCCCGTGCTCAAAGAACTTTTGAATAACATAGTTTCCGAACACGTCGGTCATCAATTGGAGAGAATTCGGCTTTATTTCACCGAAAATTGTCTCTTTCTCATCACTATTTGCAGTCTCGAGCTTCTGCTGGATAAATCGGGAGCCATGTTGATCACCGCTGAACTCGACAACGTGACCGTAGATGTCCTAGCAATCATTAGACAATGCAGACTATGAACAAAACAAACATTCCAAAGTTACCTTCAGCTCATAGCGTTTATTAGATTTGGAGTTGGCGCGAAACTCTTCGAGGAGAACACTCCTCAAATTATGTCCGAAGTCGTCATGGGCAGGCCTTCTAGCCGCTGGGTGGGTTGGGGCGATCAGGGGACTAATCGGGGGACCAGTAAAGGAAGCTGCCATTCGAATTCCGTTACCGTAAGGGTAGTCGTAGGGTGGTTGTGGTGGGAACTGGTTGCGATAAAGTTGATCTCGCATCAACTGGCCCTGGTTTATGTGAGGGCCCGGCTGTTGCTGTTGTGTGACGAGCAAACGTTGCCGCAACTTTTCGTGATTTAGGGTCAATTGCCCCGATGGTGGGGTGTGAATCGGAGGGCCGCGGGAAGAAGATCTAAAATCAGAACCATGAGGTGGCGGGGTATTACCGTTGGCATAAGGACTCCCCATATTGTTTCTTCTTTGGTATTCCCCATTTTGGTCGCCGGGAGACATGGCACCGACACGGTCGTAAGGCCTACGAACATCGCCATAACCCTCACCATAACCAGCCTCCGCATATTGCTCAGTATTACTGTAACCGTCCTGACCACGAGGATAGTTCCCATCATCCGGAGTCCACATAGAATTCTGAGCAACTGTCTGGACTGTTTGGCGGGTTTGATAGGAAGGGTATTCGCTGAACGGTGGCTGATTCTGGTAATTCAAGCCGGCGGGATGCCCAGCGAGGGCTTGCAACCGACCGTAAGGGACGCCTCCGCGAGAGGCCGAAAACCCGTCATGATCATCGTCCACCGATATCTGCCTCAGATGAGCAAGCATCTCAGCTTCTCGGGTATCACGACTCAAGTCCGCAAATCTCCCAGGTGCTAGCGGGTAGGACCCAGCATTCGGAGTATGTGAGGCCGGGTGGGAGGTAGGGACATGGGTGTAGGCTCCATAACCACTGGCCGCATCTGGAGGAGATTGGTTTGGATTGTAAGTAGGCGGTGTTGAATTGGCTCTCTGTTGAGGAGGCAGACTTTCACTACGGCCAGCTGTTGAGACACTCGATCCAAACATCTCGGCCCCCGGTCCACGTGGATTCGAAACAACACGCCCCCGGGCCATCTGAGAAGCCGGATCCCCATCGTCAATACCCGCAAGAACAAGATGTCTCCGGTCACTCGTATCAGTAGACGTAGAAGCACCTTGGAATCTTGGGCCCCCAAACCCCTGCCCGATTTCAACCGGCCGGCCCCGTGGACCAGTCGGAAAATCCATACTCTCAAAACCCGCAGAGGCTGGATCCAAATAGGGTTTGCTATTAGGGGACTGGCTCATCGATGGGCCCTGTCCTACAGCAGATTGGCGGGACATTGGGTAGAAAGGTGACGAAGTCCGAGGGATTTCCGAGCTCGACTGAGATGACTCATACTGGCGGAGGCGAACCGGAGATCGGGAGAGATCTTGATTTGGGAGAGCAGGAGAGGTGGATTCCCCCGACCATCCCACGGTAGAAGGCTTTGCGTTCCATGTATCGTGCTCCCCCGATCCAGCTAGAAGAGAGGATGAGCCTTGTTTGCCATCAAAAGACCCTAGTTCAAAGTAGGCGAATTAGAAAAGATGATACGATAGAACTACGGAAAGGGATATGGGAAACAGCAGCGAATGATTACTGTCCCAAGAGGGGAGGGGGAAAAAAGGACCCCTCACCACGACGCTCCGCATTAGCATTAGGTCCACCAAAGCCACTACCGATAGTCGTACTCCCTATGGCAGAGTTTCCCCAGATTCCCCAAGCTCCGCTGTTGCCCAGACCCTGTGTCGTAGGTTGTGATGCGCCTCCATCCAGAGCACTTGGGGAACCCCCAAAGTCATCGAATCGTGCGGACTTGACCTAACCGGGGCAAACAATCAGCTACAACCCCAACGACAACGAAACTAATCAGAAAGATACAAGAAGAAGAAAAACGGAAAAAAAAACATACGTTTGTAGATAGTGCTGCGCGAGAGGTTGCAGCTGTCTGATGATCCGACATGGCGCTGTTGAGTCGAGGAACGTTAATACAGATGCGACTGTTGACCGCTGGCAGAGTGAGTTGGATTTCGTGAAAGATGGTGAATAATTACAAAAAAATAAAAAAAGATAAAAAATACAGAATCCCCGATGAGGAACTTTTTTTTTTTTCGTGATTTGTGTACAGTGGATAGGATTTAGAGATTTACAGGTTAGGGTAATGGAGGTGTGCGAGCTAGCGATAGCTGTTGTATTGCTGAACGGAGCTACAGTGACAGCCCTACGAGCTTCAACTCCGCCAGACGCGCGATAAAAGAGGATGGTTAATCTGCTCCGAGGTCCGAAGCACAAACCTTGTTATGTAGAGGCTGTGGGGGGGGGGAGAGTGGGGGGAATGGTTTTGTGAATGGTATGTCGCCGAAACCAAAAAAAAAAAAAAAAACAAGCCGGTGAAAAGATGTACAGAAGAAGATATAGGGTTGAGGGAGGAGGGTGGCGGGGGCAGAAGAGAGCAGAGGACGTAAGTGAGTTGCGGCAGCGGGGTCAAATCCTGTGGTTGATGGTGAAGCTACTATCCCGGGGAAGGACCGAGATAGATATAAACCCAACGATTATTGGTGGAGGGATGTAGGAAGAAGGAGCGAGCGCAAACCAGGCCTTGAAAAGCGTGGTAGCCTGCCCTCCGCTTGAGTCGATTAGCAGCAGAAACTCGTTATAGTCATGCGGCGAGGGGCGGAAAGTTGATGCAAGGGATGATGACGATTCCGGGAAAAAGAGAGTTTGATGGTTTGCTTGTGGTGAATTTCGGATAATGGAAGGAAGGAAGGAAGGAAGGAAGGGAGTGAGTGAGTGAGTGAGTGAGTGAGTGATTGAAGACGATATGCCGAGAGAAAGAGAGAGAAGAGAGAGAGAAAGAGTTGATCGGAAGGATGGAGTGAAAGTGAAGACTGTAGTGAGTCTTCTATTCCTTCCCCGGGATGAGAGCGGGAAGAGATGGAAGGATGGGAACACGATGGAATAAGGGAATTGATTGGAATGCGGATGGATGTTTTTGTGAAGGAGGACGTCGCGAGGAATTAAATTTCCACTACCGTATCCCACTTTTTTTTTTTTTTTTCTCTTTCTTTCCCTCCTCCACTCACTCTTTCCCTTCTTGCTCTTGGAAAAGTAACCCTTCCTAGTGCTTGCTGATTGTGTGGTCGCACTCGGTGTTGGTTTTGAGGGCCAAGTTAAGGCTGCCTGATAGGAAGGAAAGAGCTGCTTAGAGATCCTTGGTTGCTAAGGTGGTAGTGGTACCGGTAATTGTGATGGTGGGATTTGTGGGTAATTAAATATTGATTGGAAAGGTGCTTGTTTGACTGGTTGTGTGTTGCCTGCTTGCTGGATCTGGTCCTTCCTTTTCCTCTCTCTGCCTGTCTTTTTGCACAACTTCTCTTGCTCAATGTGTCCAGCCTTGCTCTTCCTACTCACACTTCACACACACAGCTCCACTCACTCACTCACTCACTCACTCACTCACTCACTTACTCACTCACACAAGCCCTCACTTCACTTCCCTTGACTTCACCCTTCTCACTCGGACACTCACTCTCACCACTGCCCGTTCTTGTCCCTTCCACGCCGTTGCAGGAGCAGCAGAGCACTTTTATCACTCTTGCGGTTGCTTCGCGCACTCACTTGGGGCAGATGGTCGGCCACGTCCCGTCCGTGCTGCGTTCTGACTTCCGACTGACACAAGAGAACGACCGACGGGAAGGAAAGTTTGCGGGACTTTCTTTTTCCTCTCCCTCTCCCTCACTCTCTTCTCACCCTCTCACTCTTTCTTTCTTTCTCCCTCTCTCCCCTTCTCTCTCTCTCTTTCTCTTTTTTTTTTTTCCTCCCTAATGGAAGGACCCAAGCACAGAGAAAAAATGAAGGGATAAAAATGAATAAATGAAAAAACAGTGGAAGGGGACAAAAAGGGAAACGAGCCAAGCGATGATGATGAGAAAAAAAAAGGGAAACGGTACGGTACCGGTAGATCCTGTTAGCCTTCCAAATGTTGGGCTGCCGACGGTGAGTAAGAAGTGCGGGGGGGGAACCGCGAAAAACTGATGTGGGCTGCTTGGGCTTTTTCTTGCTGGGGGCGAACGAACGGTTACCTTATGTTAGGCTGGGCCAGTCGCGCTGGGATGATGAGATGGGATGGGGGCGAAGCGAAGCGTTTCTTTTTTTCTTCTTCTCCGCTGGGCTGAATTGGTGATTTGCAGACCTGGCAGATTGAGAAATTTATAGAAGCCAGAGGAACCCTGACTCAAGCTCACTCCATATATCAAGAATGGAATGCGAGTACGGTAGCAAGCTCGGGCCAGGAGACATCAGAGACAACTACCGGCACCGGTACTCAGCGCGATGAGTTGAGAGCTTCACCTCACAACGCTAAGGGAAACTCCTCGAAAAGGGTTGCAAGCGGAGGCGTTAGGAATGGACTGGCAGGACAGGTAACTTTACCGCATCCCATTTACCGGTATTCTTGCACGAGTAATAGTGATAATAATAATAATACCGTACGGTACAAGTACCCAGACCCCGTACCGGTACCGGTGCTAACGGTAGGGAGCGTGATGGTTCAAACCCGCTTGATAATGCAAAATCGCCAATAGTCGCTTACCCCCCCCCCCACACCCCTACCGTACTCGTAGAATATCATAGATATTCGCACCCAATAACTTTACCGTCACCATC